GGGGGGGGAGGGCGAGAAGTAGGAACATAGCACACTCAGGAGGAGACGGGGCTGCGGTGGGGATTTGGGGAAGGAGTTGGAATAGGGGCAGGGAGGGGGCAGAGTTGGGCGGGGATTTTGGGGAAGGGGTTGGAATGGGGATGGGGAAGGGGTGGGAAGAGGTGGGTCGGGGCAGGGCCTCATGGAAGGGGTGGAGTGGGGGCGGGACCGGGGGCAGAGCGGAGGGTCGACCACCCACAGAAAGAGGGGAAGTCGGCACCTATGCTCTTTGGTCTCCTTCTCTTCTCCTTCCACAGCTTGTCTGTGGGTAATCTCCTCTGCAAACACAAATTGAACTACCATTTCTATGTGAATGATTAACAGATTTCTCTCTCTACTATGGACCTGTCTCCTTCTGTCCAAACTAAAATCTCAGCTTGTCTTTAATATCTCAATGAGGATACCCAGCCATCAGCTTACGTTCAACATGGCCTGAATTTTCCCCTTACATCCTCTCTCATCCCTTCTTTCTCAAGCACTGTGGACAACACCAACATCCTGTTTGTCTCTCAGGCTCATAACCTGGGCATCATCTTTAGTTCTGCTCTCTCTCTCCAGATCCTCACATCCTGGCTGTGTCTAAATCTTGCTAATTCTTTCTAAATGTTTCCTAACATCCATACAGCTTAAACTCTTGTCCAGGCTCTCATCATCTTACTTCTCTATCACTGTAACATAATTTTCTCTGGCCTTGACAAAAGCAGTCTTCCCCCCCCACGTAGCCATACAAAATACTGCTGAGAGAGTTCCTGTTTAGGAAAACCAGTTCTTGCTGTGCCTTTACAACTACGCCTCTACCTCGATATAACGCGACGCGATATAATATCAATTCGGATATAACGTGGTAAAGCAATGCTCCAGGGGAGGTGGGGCTGCACACTCCGGTGGATCAAAGCACGTTCGATATAACGCGGTTTCACATAACGCGGTAAGATTTTTTGGCTCCCGAGGACAGCGTTATCTCGGGGTGGAGGTGTATTTGAGTAAAATATTCTGGGGGGCAGTTGTTAGTAGGTCTGCTTGCTGTAAATCAAATTGAATTAGATCTGAACCTTAATGGGGAAGCCCCACCTAATGTATTTCTAGGTGCCAAACATACTGTTTTGAGGAAGATAAATGTACAGTGAAGTACAATAGTTCTCTTACTTTAGTTTTTTTCGGTGAATATCATTCCCTTATTAAAAGTCCTTATAAGAAGCAGATTGATCCAGTCTGTTTTATTGAATTAATAATTCTGTATTTATATCCTTTAGGAAGTTTGCAGTGTCTACAAAAATTCCAGAAACCAAATGGTGTCAGAAGTGTTGCGTTGGTAAGTAAAGTGGTACAGTGGAAATGTCAGTAAGAGGAATAAATGGCTACAGTGTTGAGATATTTGTAACGAGTCACTACCTGGGGAGGAACAAAGGAGAGAAGAATGTTTATCAGGCTGTCACGTTTCTCTTGTCATCAGAAATAAGCTGTAGACATCTACAGGTAGTAAACTCAACCATATTAGCCCTCACATTTATAGGAAGTGAAAACTTCCTCTTTTCCCCCTCATAATTATTCACATTTCACAACAAATTCAGAACAGCAGAATGCATGTCCGGTTTCTTGAGAAACCTCAGTCTCTCCGGGGGAGTGACATACAGGAACCATCAGGCCATGGACCATGATTTCTAATACTGGCCATTGTGAGCCCACTGCAGTTCATGTTATTATTGACCGATACCGTGGGGATTTGTTTTAAATTCTCTTGGGGTGCTAGAAAGATCTATGAGGGCGGCATTGGTTCTCTAAAAATAGTACCATACAAAAATACAGTAAGGGTCCAGTGGACCAACCACTGAGTCAACACTGCAGTATAAGAGAGATCCAAACAGTGAAAAGTTACTGTTCAATAAATGTGCATAAAAGGCAGGAAAATTATTTGCTGCATGAGATCTCCACGCAAGCTGTAGTGTGTGGCGGTAGAGTGGGGTCTTCTTGAATCACTAACTGCAGCACGTAGGTCCCTGTTGTATAGAACACAGGGTGAAACATTTTCAATTTCTCTGACATAAGTAATCACTTGTTTCTCTCATCTACCTGTTACATCTTGTCGTTTAGATTGTAAACTCTTTAGGGTAGGGACCGTCATTTACTGTGTTTGTACAGTGCTTAGCATGAAGGGGCCTTGACCTGATTGAGGCCTCAATATAATGTTAAAAAACAATATACTGAACCGCTGAAAGGTGTAGTTTCTGACCTGCTGGCAGAAGAATAGTAGGGAAAAAAATCAGAGTAGATATGAAACTCTATAGGCTCTTCATGAATATAAATGTAACTTTCAGCCTGATAGATTTTACAAGATTTCTCTTCCAGTGCTGAACAGAGAAGGCGCTAGCCTGCTGCACTGTAATCATGTGGTGGCCATGTTAACCCTCTCTAGTTTGTCAGAAGGGTGCATGCACCACGCAGAGATAGCTAGCATGGGGCTTTGCTGCTTTCTGCAGCGCTCAAAGAGCTTTATCACCACCAAATGGATTAATAAACGTCTAAAAATTACTAGACCCTAGAGAACCTCCCGTGTGGTAGGAACAGAGCCTGTGATGGGACACGGGTGTTGTACCCTTTGGCCTAGCGGAAGCAGCACTGAAGTGGCAGTCCAAAAGAGACTGAATTCTAATCTCATCTTTTCCACATACTGGTGTTAGTACAGTTCGCATTACTGAGTTGAACCTTACTTTAACAGGCAAGTATCCTTGTCCTCACTTGACAGATGGGGTTAACTGAGATGTTGCACAAGGGACCAGATTTATAATGGTATTTTTAGGTGCCTAAAGATGCAAATCGGCGCCTAGTGGAATTTCAAGAGAGGAGGGTGGTCCTAGTGGATTTCATCCATTTAGCCACGTTAAAAGTCAGTGAGCGTCAGGCAGTTCTGTAAACTGCAGTGGTCACCTTTCTGTGTCTTTGGGCCCCTAAATGCCTTTGTAAATCTAGCCCAAGATCACATCAGTTAGCTTAGACCCTTAGATTGTACGTTCTTTGGGACAGAGACTGTATCATTTTATGTCTTGTACAGCTCTAATCATATGGTTGATGATTTAATAATGTGATGTAATTAGTCTGTAATGTAATGAATTTGCAGAGTTCAGGCAGTGCACGCAATTTATTGCATTTCCTGACTTTTCAGCGCCTAGCAGTCCACCTTCTTGTTCTCTTTTTAAATAAAGATTTTTTTAAATAATTAGTGATAAAAGCTATAAGAAGAGCAGTTTTAATGAAAACTGTGATGACTGATATCCTTCCTATTTCATTTCATTTCAGTCAAGGTGTAAGATTAAGTAATGTGTTAATTGAATTTTAGGTACTGGTGCAAAATATACTGAGTGTTACATTTTTAGGCCAACTTTGTAATTAAAATTCAGCTTCCTGGGAAACGGGATAGCTCAAAGAATCGACAGTGGATATAGGGAGCCTTTCATTTCTGATCACTTGCTGGAACCTGGTTTAGAACACTAATGACTGAAAGGCTACTGAGCGACTCTCAGTTGGTAATGACTGGTAAATTGTTAAATGATTGCTGGCCTCTGTTCAGTTCATGTTGGAGAAGTGTCAATGTCATAAGAACAGCCATTATAATTGGCACCTTTCTTCGAAGTCTTAACACTAGAGGAGGTTCCTCGTGATAATTAAAAAATAGTTGGGGCACACCAACATTCTGAAATGGGAAGCTTTGACTGTCAGTGTCCGTGCTATAACTATCCTGTAGGCAGCCCTAAAGTATTAAGTCCTGTTTATCAGTCAAAAACCTTCAGTCAGTTGTATTAAAACCAGCTGGGTATATAAAATATGGTTTTATTATGATGTTTGTGATAGCCCCTACTAAATGCTGTGTTTTCCAAACTCTTAAGACATTCCTAGGAACCCAAAATCTAAGGGTTGTATGTAATTTGAAAACTTGACTTTTCAGAGTCCCTTTTCATATCTGGCACTTTCAGAATTGCAAAGTCTGTGTTAAATTAGATGTGAAATGTTTATGCTAAGCAACTAACTTTACTTTTTCTTTCTTTGCAGTGAGGAATCCTTACACAGGCCACAAATACCTTTGCGGAGCACTACAGTCTAGCATTGTCTTGTTAGAATGGGTTGAACTGATGCAGAAGTTTATGTTAATTAAGGTAAACCTTACAATAAGATGTCCACAAGCAGATGTCCTACCTTCCCTTTAGGACTCAACCTCTTAATACAAAATGTTGATTTTTCGGATGCTTTTATCTTGGAAAAAATTAGTTGAGTAACCAAAATGTAAATAATTTCTTATGTCCCTATAAGATTTTCTGTTCATTTCTGCTTAACTCATTTTGAAAAATAAAATTCATCTTACATCATTTGAAAAATACCAGTTTAAAATGTCCCAAACATTTGCTAGATGTTAACTAAACATTATTTAGAGCCTTTTTCCCTGCACATATCCAGTCTAAAGGTTGATTTTTTTTTTCAATCTGTAAGTGTTGTCTTATAGTTATACAGTCAGAATGTTCTGGCTAATCAATGGGCAGAGCCTTGGGAGAATTGAGGGGAGAACATTGATAGTTCTCTCTTGATGCCAAATCTAAAGGGAGAAGATGACTCATTTGTTTTGAACTGCATGACTCTTTGGGTGCCCCAAAATCAAATAGTTGTTATTCCCAGCTGACATCAGCTGGCCTGAGGCCACAGTGCTTCATGTTTCTTGGATAGGCAGCACCCAAAGTCTGGTGAGCTAGGGGAAACAAAAGTTTTAAACCTCCCCAACTGGTGATGTCACTCAGAGGATCTGGGCTCTCTCCTGCAAGCAGCCATAAGAAAAATGATGGTGAAAGTTCAGATTCTGGATATTAATAACAAAATCCTCGTGAAGAACCTAAATCTCCATAAATCAGATTTTCCCGCGTCTGCCAAGTACTAGGATCCCAGGAAATGAGCTTGATGTTACATAAGCGTGCTAACAATGAATGGCAAAACGACTTTATCCAACTTACCATGCTGTTGAGATGACTAATCGTGATGTGTACTAAATTGTTTGCTTTGTAACTTGTTTGCCTTTATGTAACCGTTTTTTTGTTTCTTAATCTAGCACATAGATTTCCCTGTACCTTGTCCACTGAGATTGTTTGAAATGCTGGTAGTACCTGAACAAGAATTCCCCTTAGTTTGTGTTGGTGTCAGTAGAGGGAGAGACTTCAACCAGGTGGTGAAGTTTGAGACTGTCAACCCAAATTCTACCTCTTCATGGTTTACAGAAACAGGTTTGTGCATTATGATTGGATTCCCAAATTATTTGCTATCTTACTTTATTATAATTAGAGCACTAGTAATGGCTAGGTTCCATAGTTTCCATTATGGAAATGACACAATGTCCCATAATTAGTTACATTGGGTTTTCCATGTAAAGTGGACTCCCAGTTGTCCATAACTCTCTCTGACTTTCACCTTCCAGGCTAAAATTTTTGACGGAGTGAGGTTTTTTTGGAATGTTTGAGTGTAACGCACAGGGGACAGAATAAAAGTTGCTTGTGTTTCCGTAAGTTAGGCCTTTCTTGAATTGTGTGCTTCACTTTGCAACTTCATTGTTCTCTTGACATAGTGTTTTTAATGGATTTTAATAGAATTTCAGGCTGACCGCCTTCTTCTCAGGCAGTTGGTATGAGATGTTGTGGGCCAAATGCAGGGAGCAGATTTCAAGATGGCAGTTACCTTAGGGTTGCTGAGAAGGAAGTACTTGCCCCTTTCTCTTCCCATGAAGATCGAGAGGAGGGAAGGCATATGTGCCCTGTAGTCTGCATCCGGAAGCCAGCACTTATTTTTGTTCCTCATGGCTGGCGTGAGTGCCATTTGGATGAGGAGCTAGTGCACAGAGGCAGCAGCAGAAACTCTTAAGATGAAAATTGGGTGGTGGAGAGACACCTTTCTGGATTGCTCCCCCCCTCCCCCCTTGAAAACCGGTCCCAGCCCCACAATGCAGAAGCAGTAAGTTGCTCTGTCTCAGGGCTTTAGTCATCCCTGTGGCTAGAGCAGAAGGTAATATGGTGCACTCCCATTGATCTGTGGTGAGCTTGTAAGTTGCCATCCCTCATTACTTTTGCACAAACCTCACTGATACGATCCTTTGGAGCTCACTAAAAAATGCTATTTTCACTAGAAAGATTTCTGCTGATTTTCTTGCTGCTTAAATGAATATCTGAAAAACTTCTGATGTATATAGAAGTGCAACTACACAAATGACTGTTAGCAGTGGTAGTGCTGCAGTGTATGGCCAGTTAATACTGTAATATTTGTGTGTGTGAACGTTGAGGTCCATTTTCAGATTGGTACATGGGGTTATGTAGCTCCTAATATAGTCGATGAAAGTAGAACACTGAAAAGCAACTCTTTAAAAATGTACCCTTTGTATTCAGTGTTATTTCAGTATTGTCTGCATCAATGATATGTCTCTGTAAATGTAAAATCTTTATTCCCTTCTTAATATCCTTTGTTTTTTAACTTAGACAGTTTAACACTTCTCTGAATTACTGCACCTATCCTCATTAGAATTATTTTTTAGTCATTTGTATGTCCTTCTGGTGCATCTGTATTGTTGGCAGGTCGTTTTTCCTTATTATATTGGCAGTACTTTAAACCACATGGTTAAATCAGTCTCCCCTGTCCTCTGCTGACAGGACATTGAGAACACAGTCAAAAACTCTTTGAGAAGAGAGAAAAGTATACAGTATGTGGCGGTTAAATAGCTTACACCAAATGATTATTATTTTATATATTTGGCATTTGTTTGGAAATGTTTAAATGATATGCTACAAAATAATTGTCTTTGCTCCATTTGTTTGATGATCATGAGTCAGAAAATGCATACACTTTCTTGTGACTGACAGGCCAAATTATTGGCTCTGAAAGTGCATTTTTCTCCAGAGACAATTATGCCTGATG